GAAAAGTAGTAAGATTAACTCTACAAAAATGAGCAAAGAACATGCAATAAACATGGGGGAAAACAGTCAACCTCATTAGCAATCCCTTGTGTACACATTATCTCATTTAATATAAACATTAACTTAGATATCATCGAAAAGTCTGAGATTAAAGCTCCATATAGTAGACTGCTGCCAGTGAGCCTAAGGATCTCCCACTCAAAAAAGCCTAATCATTTTCCTCAATAAAAATGACAGGGTACAACTATTCTTAAAGCAAGTGTGTGCTCTTTTTTTTCCCTTAAATCTGCTTGGAACTTATGGTGAAAACACCACCCCTGCAGTTAAAAGTTTCAGAAACCATGTGGCCCCCAAAGCCTAGAATAGTTACTATCTGGTCCTTTACAGGAAAACGTTTGCTGACCCCCTGAATTAGACCATAAAATTCTACCATTGGAGTTTGACATATTTTAACACAAAGAACAATTTTTATTTGGATTGGATTTGCTGTGGAGTGATTTAACCTGTAACTGCTAGTTTTTAATTATATAAAATAGGTGGAATGAATTTGAACTTGGACTATAATATTGGGGGAAGGTTATTTTTAGGATGCAGTCCTTTAAAGAAAATCTGTGTTACAAATTATATAATTTGTAGAAATAATAGATATTAGAGTGGGAAAGACCTAGTTATCTAATCCAGGGGATTTCAGTCTTCATCATACTTCAGAATCACCTGGAGAGGTGTTTTTTGAAAGTTACAGGTGCCTGGGCTCTACTCCCAGCAATCTTGTTTTATTTGGTCGAGCATGGGACTCAGGCTTTTTTATTTTAAATGCTTTGCACGTCATTCTAAAGTGTAACCAGGGTTGGGGACCACTGATCTTATCCCACCCACTCATTTTATTAATGAGACAACTAGGGTTCAGAGAGTTGTGATGCATCAAAGGACATGCAGCCATTTAGTGGGGGAACCAGACCAGAACCCAGTATCCTTGACTTTGTAGTTAATTACTTCCCTGTATCATTCTACATTCTCCAACCATGACTGGGGGTTGGCAGACTTTTCTGCTATAAAAAGCTAGATAGTAAATATTTTAGGCTTTGTGGACCATATGACTCCTTGTTCTTTAAAATTCATTTATTCAAAGAACCACAGAATTTCCATTTCTTGCCATTTCTGGCGATTTGCACCAAAGTTACTCGTTTATTTTGTTTTTCAAGGGAGGGGGGATGGTGGTGGGAGGAGGGGAGTATATACATATAGAAGTATTGCTATATTATGGTCAAAGACTAGTAGGTTGCTAATGAAACAGCATCTTAGGCCCTTAGGGGTTATTCCCTCTCTTGAAAAATAGATATGGTTGTCCCCAGATGCTGTTAAAAAGCCAGTTTAGATTTCACTTGCCAGGATGAGAAGACAGCTTTTTTTTTTTGCTCACAATCTTAAGTTGAATAGATATTTTCAGTATAAAAGCTGAGTCCTTCTGTTTCTCCAAAAACTTACAGTAAAAAAATTTTATGTAGAGGATAGGAGAAATTGTATGACATCAAGGTTTCATCATGAATTGACTTTAGTTCAGTATTTAGATACTGCCATCAGTAAAATGCATTAGATATTTGATTTACTTATTAAAAATTAAGCTTGCTCTTAATGATTTTAGTCAGGGTCTTCACTGAGTAAAGTTTAGTTCTTTTCAAATTATTATCTCTGTATTTCTGATCCTGCTAGTCCTATTAACTTGAATTTGGGAGATATGGAAATAGTCAAGTAAATACTCTGCTTGGAGACTGTAAGTGGTGGTGGTAACATTGGACCATCTTTGACACTCTGACACTTTGGCAGTTTCCCTCTGTGACCTTTTCCAGTTTTATTCATGGACTGTGTCAGAAAGGTTTCTTTCATGAGTAAATTTTGAACCCAGGTTCAAGGTGAGTTCAGAATATACTCAAATTCATTCAATCCTTTTTATTTTTTTAAATGCAGGGTTGTACATATTTTAATAATTTTCTTATGTATCTGGTATTTAATGCTGACAGGATTCCAGTCAATGGAGAGGTTTCATTGCAAGTAGCTGCAGGTGTGTTTCATGGTAGAGATAAAAGTTTTTAGTGAAGCAGACCTTTTATTTTAAAAGACTACATCCTAGTAACTAATGAATATAGATGTTGATTTTTGTGGGGCAATATGATATGCTTTCTGTGTGTTACATTGTTACTGCTAAGCCAGAATTTTGAATTGTAAAGGCAAAAACCTTTACATCAGATACCAAATCTAAAAGAAAGATTTTAAGGATTGTGAAAATTGGCACTTAATGTTTATTCTTAAATGGCTTAGTTTTTATAGAGTGAATAAACCTTAAAGCATCTCATTAGCACAATAAGATGTATTTGTAGCACCATTGTTTCATTTAAAAATATTCATTCTCTACAAATAAAATGTGTTTTTATTTGGTACTGTTATTAATTAAACAGGCCCCTCAGAACCAGGTTAATGACTAGCTTTTGCATTAATTCCTGCATTTATCATTTGAACATCTACTCTATACTGGGAGTTATGCTAGAACAGGAATTTGCTCTCAGGGATTATACAGTGTAGGAGGAGTTGAAGTAGAAGAAGTATATATAGTCGTTTTAATTTTAGAGGGTTTACAAAATTGTCTAGAAAGTGCTTCTTGGATACTATGTGGTCTTGAAATATAGACTCTGCTACTCTACTTGTTGCATAAATACTTAGGATTAAGTTTGTTAAATTTCTCATTTTTTTGTCCATAACAGTAAGACTAATTCTCTGGAAATTGGTCACCAAAAGGAAAAATAAGATATGTACGTTTTGCCTTTTCAGCAGGCTACAGTCAGCAGACTGGACCCCAGCAACCTCAGCAGTTCCAGGGATATGGCCAGCAGCCAGCTTCCCAGGCACCGGCTCCTGCCTTCTCTGGTCAGCCTCAGCAACTTGCTGCTCAGCCGCCACAGCAGTACCAGGCGAGCAGTTACCCTCCACAGACCTACACTACCCAAACTTCTCAGCCCACTAATTACACTGTGGCCCCTGCCTCACAACCTGGAATGGCTCCAAGCCAACCCGGGGCCTATCAACCAAGACCAGGTTTCACTCCACCTCCTGGGAGTACCATGACCCCCCTTCCGAGTGGGTCTAACCCTTATGCACGTAGCCGTCCTCCCTTTGGTCAGGGCTATACCCAACCTGGACCAGGTTATCGATAAGGAGGCTCAGTTACACTGATGAATGTAGCTGCTAGCTGTTTGCCTCCCAAAAGACTCCAATACTACTCTTTTAATTTGTATTGAAGTTCACAAGTTTAAAAAGCAGAGCATTTTTTTTATGATATCATTGTTGCTGTTAATTGAAAGTTAATTTGTTGGAATAAAAAAGACCAAAATGAAAGTTTTTTTCCTCCCCTGCTTAAAATTGTAGCAGCTCCCTAGTTATTTTGGAACACTACTCTTACATGTGTGCAAAGTGATTGATTGACTTTCTGGCTTGCCTTGTCCAGAGGATATTAAAATGCTAGGTTGAAGTTCAGCCATCTTACTTGGCTTTTTACTATTAACATGATGTACTAAAGTAGATCCCTTTGCGAAGACTAGATATTATGTATAAATGTAACAAACATTGATTGATAGGTTAATTAATAAAGAAAGATGATTGAATCCATTAGTGGTCTTGTAATTTAATTTAGTCATTGACACTATATGTGTGTGTGTGTATATATTTATATATATATATATATATATATATATAAAAAAAAACACACGTTAATTAATAAAGAAAGATGATTGAATCCATTAGTGGTCTTGTAATTTAATTTAGTCATTGACACTATATGTGTGTGTGTGTATATATTTATATATATATATATATATATATATATAAGAAAAAACACAAATCCTTGTTTTTTGATGTTTTGGTCTTAAAATGAAGTATAGACCTTTTATCTATCTTTTATGCCTTCCTTGTGAAATAGATTTCACAAGAAGATAGATTATATAATAATATTATATATAAACAAACAAACACAATAGATACAAGGGGGTATTTATTTGATCCTAAATAACTTGTGATTTTCCTTATAGAAATGAACCATTCAGAAATGAAGAACTCGGTCTTAAAAAAACTACATCTCTTTATTGCAGAGTTTATACTTGTATGAAAAATATAAAATGAAGTATTGATAAAACTGAAGCATGGTGAAAGGTGGTAAGCACAGAAAGGTCCTTTACGGATGAGGGCAACAATGCAGCATTCCCATCTCCCTCCCCAAATGAAGGAGAAAAATACTTTTTTTTTAACATAAAAATGAGTCAGATTTTCATTACAGGTTGGGTTAGACAGAATTACAAAAACAGCCTCTGATACATTCATTCCCTAGAGATCTTCTGTGTAAAAATATAGTAAATATCCTATAAAATGGCAGGGATCTCATCATGCATTATCCTTTTGTGCTTAGACTTCACAGTCAGTCTCTGTATACAGCTTGATTAGCATTATATTAAAAACAAGTAGGGACACAACTGCTTAAAGGGATAGTTTGACAACATTCAGACATTGTAACATGTTTATGGGTAGAGAAAGAAAAAAATACGTATTTTGAAACGCTATATATAATTCTCAATTCTATTTATAACTGAAATGAAATTTACTGATTCAAACAAAATCTTTTCAATAATTTGCAGGTATTTGAAGAAATGTATACTGTCATGAATGGTTAACTATTTAAACGCCTCAGAAAAGATATTCAGCTGTTGCTAAAAAGTTGAAGTTTAAATAAACATGTGAATATTAGCACCTTTTTCCCCCAGATATATATGCTGAAGATAATTTGATCTAATAAGTTAAACCAAGTAGAGGTTTATGGAATTAACTCACCAGTAGGAAGAATACAGAATAATAGTATTTTTTTAAAAGTATATTAGTTTTTTGATGTTAATTTTGTTATAAAAGTATCTCAAAACATCATTACAACACTGTGATAAATAATATACAAATGATCTCTTAAAATACCATGAATAGGGAGCCAGCTTCCCCAAAAATGTTATTCTGTTAATGTCAATATTTTGCTTTCTTTAAATGACTTTGTAAAACCTGATAAATATTCTCAGCGCTCTTCCTAGTAAACATCTAATATTGCCATTAATTAATTTTAAACTTTTATACATAGTAAACATAAGAGCTTTAAATGCATATGACAAACACCATACTGTTTCCAATTATTTTTTGCCATGATGAAACAGAAGGCACTTCTGAACGTGATTGCAGCATCTACCATTTTCCAGGAATTGTGGTCCCACATTCATACCACTGGACATAATTGATTTGGGTGTGACCACCAATTTCTCCAAATTGGACAGGTTCCTGGCGAACTGCTCTGAAATAGCCTGAGAGAAAATAATTAATTTTAATAGCTGCTATGATATATTTTTGTCCTCAGTGCTCATAGGTTGAAGGGTGTCGATGAATGCCTGAAGCTTACTCTAGGTGAAGCAGAGTATTTTAGAAAAAGGATAGTAAAAGAGGCCCTGGTGTCTTTCCTGAGGTGGTAATGGCTAGCTAAACATCAGGGACACTTGAAACTCCTTGACATCTGCCTTAATCTAGGATGGGATGGTTGGTAGTATTTGAGAGAGAAAGCTGAAAGGGGGCAGGAGTTGGAGGGGTTTCATGTTTTGTTTGAGTATAACTGACCAAGTTCAATACACACTTTGACCTACGTAAAAGTGTACTTTCTGTACTTTACAGCCTAGTGGTGGTCTATGAAGTTACCTGGTTAAAGGAGTGTTGTACTAAAATGTTAGGAAACAAAAGAAGGGTTGGTTTAAGATTGCTAAATTTCTCAGAACTAAAATTTGATGAAATCTTCCTTCAAGGACCCTACACTAAGTGATTAAAAAGTTTGCTGTGAATGTAAAATGTTACAGAAATAGACACAATTTACAGTATATTGTATATCCGGTTCCTGTGAGGCAGCAGTTTCAATTTTCTGATAATGAGTTCACAGATCTTATTAAGTCACCTTTTAGTGTGGTTGGTATTTTTAGTGCCAGTGACCAAAATGTGATGCTGAAAAGACTAGTCAAATAATTTTAAGTATTTAACAAGCCCCTCTTGGTAACTCCTGAGTAATATGGATGTGTAATTTACCCTTTCCTACCCTACCTGGACAGGGATTAAATTAATTTTCAGTCTTTTCAATTCTTATTAAACAGCTTGGTGCTAATGTGTCTGTAGCAAGTTACAGTGGTTAGTCATTTCTCAGCAGAATTCTTCTGTTTTAATTGTATTTATAGAATTATTTATAAGGCAAGTAACATTCTTTTTTCCTTCTACAGTAGTAGTAAAGCTTTGAATTTCTTTAAAATTTTTAAAAAAGGAATAAAAAAAAATGCCTGTGTGCTCAGTATGACAAAAACCATAAAAGTAGTGCATGAATGATTTAAGCTGGGGAAATTAAGCTTCTTTTTTATAGCTGCTTTTTTTAAGCTGCTCTTTTATAGCTGCTTTTGCAAATTCAGGTTTTCTTAAAGTAGAATGGATTTATATAAGATATTCTGTAATTTCCCTCAGCTCTAAGGAACAGAGTCTTAAGGAATGGGCGGAAAGTGAAGAAACTTCTATTAAAGTCTTCATGTTAAGGTCTTACGTGGGAAGTCCTTTTTCCTAGGCAGATGGAGTAGTAGTACTACAGAATTATTTTTAAAGTGATTGATTTTCTCAGCTTGAATGTTTTTTGGGTTAATTTGTAAAAGCCTCTTACTTACGAGGAGGCTCAGAAAACATACCTTCTTTGGTGGGTAACTGGTCAGAAGAGAGTTGCTGTCCTGTGCGTCCATCTAAAAATGAGTCTACGAACTGGCAGTGATCTTCTCCATGGCCTCTCTGATCACCTATATTATAAAATTTTCCTGAGAAAACAAATGAAAAGGATCATGAAGTATTGCTGCCTTTGATATGGGAGGACTCTGAAATAATCAAATTGTTTCAAATAATCTGTCTTCCTTGTTCTTGTACTTCTCCCCCCTTTCTTTCCAGTTCAAGCCACCAGTGTTCCTTGATTGAACTATGGAATCGTCTCCCAGCTGGTGTCCCTGCTTTCACTCTTGCTTTTCCCTATTTTTCCTCCCCTCCTCCTTTCACAGATTAGTCATCTTTTTAAAACGCAACTCAGATAGTGTTACGCCCCTCCATCAATCTCTCCGGCAGTCTTCTGTTATACTCAGAATAAAACCCGGGAGTCCTTACCTGGTTTCCTAGCTCCGCAGGATTTCATGCTGCCTGATCTTCCCCTTACTAAGCCTCAGCCACACTAGTGGAACCGGCGAGGCATTTTCTGCTGCAGGTTTGCGTTTCTCTTCCCTCTACCTCTGGTTCTTTATCCCTCGATCTTTGTGTGGTTGGTTCCTTCTCATAGTTTTCTTCTCGGCACAAGTGCTACCTTTTGAGGGGGGGCTTTTCCTAACCATTCTAACTAAAAGAGCTTTCATTCAGGCATTTTATTCTCCATTTTCATTCCATTCAGCCATTTTCTTTCACCCATTTTTTTTTCTTCAGAGCACAATATGAAATTCTTATTTACATGTTTGCTTTCTGTCTCTCCCTGCTAGACTGTAAGCTACAAAGAGCAGGAACGTGTCTTATTTCCTGCTTTCTCCCCAGCACCTGGAACAATGTCTGAACAAAGCAGATCTGTTGAATGATTGAGCAAATGTCTACCTTTCTATGTTGGGCCAATCTTATTTAAAATTTTTACTGTATGAATATAGAAGAGAAAATAACCCACTGAGTCTGGAGCAAGGGGTTATAGCCCTTCTGGCTCAGTGTTTCAATCTTGCTCTTGTCTCTGACAGACTTAAAATCTTAAATATGTCATACTCCTTCCATGATTATTGTTAGATACACTCTTTTTACTACCAGTAGGCTTTTTATCCTGGGTTGGCTGTAACAAAATTGAGCTTGGTTGTGACTAGTTTTTCTACATTCAGGTTTGCCACGATGGCACCGTTTCAGATTGCATTTTCATTATTTACCTTCTTATAGCATGGTCTCAAATCCTAAGATTCCAATAACATCTTGCTCAAAAAGGAAACTTGTATTTACATCACACCTTCGTGTCTGGGACTGTCCATAGAAAAGGCTAAGTTACAGAACGCTGCAAAGCATTTCCTGAAGGATAATCCTCAAAACAGAACTGATGGCCCTGCTTACCTGTGAGGGAGTCACTCAGATAAATCTTGTATCTGAGAGAGTTGCACAGCTGCACCCCTACAAACTTTTTATACCACGTCCTTTTGACATACTGTTTGCCCTTACATTCTGAGTAAGAGTCCGAATTAAAGGGTCTTTCAGTCCAGATGGCATCTCTTCCTGCTGCATAAGGAAAGGACATGGTTTGAGTTTAGTATTTGACTTTCGGTCCTGAAGAGCTGTCTTAAAAGCTTTTAAAAAAGCAGTTTGCCAAGTTCATTGTCAACCTGCTGATAGCTGGTTTTCTCCAGTGCTAAATATTGGAGCCAAAAATATAGGAGTAAACCCCCAATTAAATTTCCATCAATGATGAGGTAAATCTTGGAGCAGTATGTGTCAAAAGTTGACTAGCCTCTGCAGTGCTCAATGTAGAACAGCATCCCTTTAGGAGCAAATTTAGGTTTCTTTTTTTGCAGCATATTATACAATTTAAACAGTTGCTTTAATGTGACTTGTTATGAAAAGTGGAAATGAGGGTCCTGTATCTTGACTTAATTATTAAACAGAAAAGTTGAGCTGGTCTGTTACAAGAATGGAAAGCAGGTTTTAAAATATTCAACTTGTTCCTGAAACAACATAGGCTGTCAATGTTACTGAATGTTTTAGGTAAGCATTCATACCTGATTGATATTCTAAGACTAAATGGACTAAAGTGAAATCATGACTAAAATTCTACCATGCCCGTTTAGTTGAATCACTGTAGGAAAGCGTGTAGTTGTGTTCTCATCCAGGTAGGTACTTACCAGAAACTGGCTCACTCACTCTAGGGTCAGCTAAGGAGAAATAGCAAAGACAGAGTCAGAGGTTGTTAGGTAAGTCCCAGTGTTCCAGTGACATAGTGAAGAAGATGGGTGCTTACAGTTGTTAAGGAATCTTGCAAAATGGTACACTCTTACTAAAGTCCAAATTTGAAAATTGTATATTTCGTTTTGGGAATTGTTCTCCAGTGGAGAATCTCCTCTGCCACGTACTCAGCTGTATCTTTTATATGTGATTTGTGTAGTTAGTCGTCTTCATTGCTGTTCTAGATTTTACTTCCATTTTAAAATCTTCCTCTTTTAGTTTCATAAAAAAAACTATTGATGATAAAATCACCAAGATGCCATGAACTGCATTTGGTGTAAAAAATTATACACTAATGCTGTGAGTACAGATGTATCTCATTAAGGAATTGGAACTTAGGCCAAATTAGAAAATTTCACAGCTGTTCATCATAAAAAACTCACATGAATTCCCTTTCTGGATACTGTGGCTGAGCGTCTGATATTTTGATTCTAGGCACAGATTCTAGGCATAGAGAGGAGCATTCATGCACTATTGAGTATAGACTGACTATATGCTTTTTTTCTTTTAAACTGATTTGCCTAATGTTTTTCTGACATCGAGATAAATGAGGAAAAACCCAAGGGGTGTTTCCTTAAGGGTACCTTCATCAGTTTGCTTTTTCAAATGGATGTTTTTTTTTAAATCAAATGCTTTACCCAGTGTTTAGCTAGGTTTCAAACAAGCTCTGCAAAACATTGTGACCCTTTATATCCTTGTTAGGAATTACTGCTGATGTGATTACCTGATTCAGTACTGAATGCCACTGTGTTGCTGGGTGGGCCTTCACCAAGTGGGTTTTTGGGTTTCACCTGGAACTCATAGCTGTGTAGGGGGGAAAGAAACAGAAAACAAAAATAATGTTCTTAAGTGGTAGGAAACAATTTTCTTGTCATACCGACATTCTTCCTGATTCTGTTTTGAAATCATCATGACAGTGAATGGACATATGTTCTAGAAGAAGCTTCAGGAAAGAAAAATTCCTTTAATTCTACTGTTCAAACAGCTTGTCTAATTGTTTTCTAGAAGAAAAGGGTTAAGTTAATAAAAAAGATTGTTGTCTTTTAAAAACTCCAAATTAATAGAAATAGCTGGGCAGGTTGCTAATGGACATACAGGAAAAGAGGTATGTGGTGGACCCAGGCTAATTCCAGTAACAAGGAGCCTCAGTTTCCTTCCAATGTTTAGCTACTTCCTGGGAGTGCAGAATAAATTCCTTTTTATTCCTTATTATCCCAACCCTGGGTATAGCCATAGACTTAGGCAGTGTTCTTCATTGTGGGGTTTGAGCTACCCATGTCAGAATCACATGATAGAGCTACACTGGGGAAAGTTTGTTTAAAGTGCAGACTTCTTGCTCCATTCTAGCTACTGAATCCCTTTTTGCGGGGTTCCAGAGAGGTATTTATAATAAGTTCCTGAGGTGAATCCTGTGCCCACTGACATTTGAGAACTACTAGATAAGCTATGGGAGCAGATGTACATGAAAATATTGTTGCAAGAAGTTCCTGGTTATATCTCCTGGAACTTGGGTCTTCTGTGGATCATAGGAAGCCACGATATATTCTGAGTAGGGGCATGGTAGTGTCAGCTCATGAAGAGTATGGGCACAAAGACACTTTTCTCTCCTTCTATAAACTAGATTCATATGGGCCAGGCCCTTAACCCTTTATGTTAAAAAAAAAAAAAAAAGACAAAATAAGCCCATATCCCTTGTAGTTATGTTTGATTCTGTCCTTAAGAATTATGCACTAAATTACTATGCAATATTTGACAAATTTCATCCATAGAATACTCAAGCAGAGCAAACCCTTTTAAGTTCAAACAGTAAAGCTATTTGCTGTTTGCCTGAAACTAAGAGTTCCTTTCAGTAGCAGACTTCGCAGGAAAGTAATTTTGAATGTAAAACCAGCTTGAGTCAGCTGATAGAATTGATTGAGTTTCAAAATTGTGAAAGACTTTTGGGAGATAATTCCTGTTTTTAAAAAGTTTGTAATTGACAGTGCAAAACACAAAAAATACTTTAGAAAAAAGTGAAAAACAGAAGGATGACAGCTCTTAATTTGGTACAGAGGATACCAAGTGAGCAATAACCAGAACTTTCTGGGGCTCAAGGAGTCAGATTTTTGACTATGGAGGTACTGCTGGAATCTATAAGGAAGACAGATTCTAGCATTACAGTGTGAACATTTTTTGAGTGCTTACTATGTACCAGATACTACATATGAAAAGTAATACACACAAACCCCAAGAGATAATTATTTTCCTATTTTTCAGTTAAGAGCAATGACGCTTTTAACCATTGTACTCTTATTGTCTTTGCTTTTCCAAACTTTGTGATATGGGGATTAAAACATGCAGGGTTTTCATTTATTTATTTTAAAAACTTTTTAACATCTTTATTGGAGTATAATTGCTTTACAGTGTTGTGTTAGTTTCTGCTTTATAACAAAGTGAATCAGCTATACGTATACATACATCCCCATGTCTCCTCTGCGTCTTTATTCCTGTCCTGCCCCTAAGTTCTTCAGAACCTTTTTTTTTTAGATTCCATATATATGTGTTAGCATATGGTATTTGTTTTTCTGTTTGAGTTACTTCACTGTATGACAGACTAGGTCTGTGTCTCTATTCCTGTCCTGCCCCTAAGTTCTTCAGAACCTTTTTTTTTTAAAGATTCCATATATATGTGTTAGCATATGATATTTGTTCTTTTTCTGAGTTACTTCACTCTGTATGACAGACTAGGTCCATCCACCTCACTACAAATAACCCAATTTCGTTTCTTTATAGGGCTCAGTAATATTCCATTGTATATATGTGCCACATCTTCTTTATCCATTCATATGTCGATGGACACTTAGGTTGCTTCCATGTCCTGGCTATTGTAAATAGTGCTGCAGTGAACATTGTGGTACATGACTTTTTGAATTATGGTTTTCTCAGGGTATATGCCCAGTAGTGGGACTGTTGGGTTGTATGGTAGTTCTATTTTTAATTTTTTAAGGAACCTCCATACTGTTCTCCATAGTGGCTGTATCAGTTTACATTCCCACCAACAGTACAAGAGGGTTTCTTTTTCTCCATACCCTCTCCAGCATTTATTGCTTGTAGATTTTTTTTTAATTAATTAATTAATTTATTTATTTTTGGCTGTGTTGGGTCTTCGTTTCTGTGCCAGGGCTTTCTCTAGTTGTGGCGAGCGGGCCTCTCACTGTCGTGGCCTCTCTTGTTGCAGAGCACAGGCTCCAGATGTGCAGGCTCAGTAGTTGTGGCTCATGGGCCTAGTTGCTCTGTGGCATGTGGGATCTTCCCAGACCAGGGCTTGAACCCGTCTCCCCTGCATTGGCAGGGAGATTCTCAACCACTGCGTCACCAGGGAAGCCCTGTTTGTAGGTTTTTTGATGATGGCCATTCTGACCGGTGTGTGGTGATACCTCATTGTAGTTTTGATTTGCATTTCTCTAATGATTAGTGATGTTGAGCATCCTTTCATGTTTATTGGCAATCTGTATATCTTCTTTGGAGAAATGTCTATTTAGGTCTCCTGCCCATTTTTGGCTTGGGTTGTTTGTTTTGATATTGAGCTGCATGAGCTGCTTGTAAATTTTAGAGATTAATCCTTTGTCAGTTGCTTCATTTGCAAATATTTTCTCCCATTCTGAGGGTTGTCTTTTGGTCTTGTTTATGGTTTCCTTTGCTGTGCAAAAGCTTTTAAGTTTCACTAGGTCCCATTTGTGTATTTTTGTTTTTGTTTCCATTTCTCTAGGAGGTAGGTCAAAAAGGACCTTGCTGTGATTTATGTCATAGAATTAAAACATTCAGGGTTTTTAGAGTGAAAAACTGCACATGAAAGCATTTTGTAAACTAATCAACTGGTAGAAAGTGCCATTATCCTTTGCAGTAAGACTGCTGATATAAAGCCACCCATCTCACTCATTTAAATAAATTGCACATACATGGGGTGCTCTGGCATAGAATATTTTCCACAGATTAAATTCTAGCTCTGAGGCCTGATGAACTTACTTATTAAAAAAAAAATGGTGAACTGAAAGTGGAAAAAGAAATCACAGGCACCTGGACTTGGATTCAAGCAGGCAATGCATTCCACATTCCAGGCCATTGCCAAAAAGCTCTGTGCTTTGGCCAAGTCTGATTGCTGAAATTATTTCCATGTATTTTTATTTCACAGTTATATACACTTCAGCTATATTTGTAGAATGGCCACAAATATTGATAAGCTACTTTTGGGGATTGTTTTTGGGGTTTTTTCCCACCGTTTTATGATACTTGACAAGTTTTGAAGAAATCATTTTAAATTAATTAACTGCATGAGAACTAAAAGGCACATATTTTTGGCTGATTAAACAGAAAATATATAACAGAATATATTTTAAAAGGCAAAATCTTTCCCAAGAAGCACATTTTATCACAAGATTTATGACACTGTAGGTAGAAGAGAGTAATGTCTCACAGAAAATATTGATTATACATAGGGAATAAGCATAGGATTTTAGCTGTGCAAAAATCCCATAGAGGAGAAGAAAGTTATTTAAAATAAGTACAGAATAAATAAAACTTCAAATAGAATGTTTGGAAAATAAAGTTAAGGAAATTTTACAAATACTAGAAAAAAAGATGAAAAATGAGAGAAAATATGGAAAGGAGCAGATTTTTTCAGGGAATATAAAACTAGTAGGTTCTAGAAGAGAGAGGAGTGGAAAAGGAGGGTAGAAAATTATCCTAGAAAGTTTTTAAGTGATTTCCCAGAATTGAAAAACATGGGTTTCTGGATTTAAAAGGCCTAACATTTGCCCAGCAAGGTGAAAGAAGAAAAAAGACTAAAGTAAACAAATTGCAAAATTTCAGAGTACTGGGATAAAGACAAGATCTTAAACGTTTCTGAGAAGAAAATAGGTCCTATTCAAAGGATGCAGAATCAGAATGATGTGACATCTCAGCAGCTCTAGAAGTTAGAAAATAATGGAACAATGCTTTCAAGCGTTCATTTTATCCTACAATCTATGTTTGGCTAAATAACAGTATCAGAATAAAACACAGATATTTTCAGACACGTAAGAACTCAAAAATATTATCTTCCATAACCTTTCTTCAAGATGTGTTTCTCAAGAGATTCCAGAAAGCGAGTAAACAAGGAAGACATGGGATATAGGAATTAGGGGGATTCGACACAGGAGAGAGGCAAAAGATGATAGTGAGGGCTTCTAGGAGATGCTGCCATAAACAAACACAGGTAACAAACAGATGACTTGAGCACTTGACCATTTGGAGAAATAGTCTAGACATATGGATTTAATTAACTGAAGAAATAGATAAAATATGGATTTAATTAACTGAAGAAATAGCTAAAATAATTGGGAATGAGAGAGGCAGGACTAAGGTGGTAACACAGGAAGCTCCTGAGCTCTCCTCCCCTCACAGACACATTGAATGCACAGCTGCACATAGAGCAATTGCCTCTGAAAGAGATCCAGAAACTAGCTGAGCAACTCCTATGCATTGGGGAAATGAGAGAATACCCCCATCAAAATGGGTAGCAAAGGCTGAGACACACTTGACATAAATCCCATCCCTGACACAGCACCATATAATCAGGAGGGAATCCCCAACTCCCAACTTCTTCCTGAGGAGCAAAGGGTTTGTAATCCACATCTGCATCCCAGCTTTTAAGACTCTTACCTGAGGGATGGGTCCCCTAAACACCCAGCTCTGAAAGCCAATTGGACTTGTGTTCATGAGACCCATAAGGATATAGCAAATCCACTTCTTCACAAGTGCACGAGCACTCACTGTGGCAGAGCAAA